TTATTCCATTGACAACCTTAAATTACTTTGGTAGATAGTTTTGTGATAGTCCAAATAGAATAAAATCAATATATATTATAAACTGAATAACTACAATAATCAGACATGAGAAAAAGTAATATAACATTAACTGGAAGATAAATTTTATTATGCTTATGATATAGTTATATTTATAAATATAAACATATTCTTGGGCAAGTGTTTTATGAGTTTTTTTGTAGTATGGAATGTGAAGATTAGGGGATAAAGTTATAAAGACATAAAACAATTTAAGGTTGCCTATTGAATAAAATTGTCCCATAAAATTTGTAGAGAACAAATTTTACTGTATGTATTTATGTTTTATATTATAGCATACATGTATTTTAGTCTGATACATGTTGTTAAGTGCCGTTGAGTCAGTTCCGACTCATAGTGACTCTGTATAGGGTTTCTGAGGAGTGACTGATGAGCTTGAACCGCCGACCTTGCAGTTCAGATGGCTTTGCAGTCTGGCGCATTAACCCACAGCGCCACACCAGGACTCCAGTCTGATATATAGTAATTAGTAAAAATTCATCATGTGAGTACATGTTATTATTAATGCTAGGATGTATTTCAACTTGTTGGTGAGGGTATTACCTGTATACACTGTAGGATTTTTTGTATGCATGTTGTTGTTAAGTGCTACCGAGTTGGTTGCGACTCATAGTAACCCTTGATAAGGTTCCCAAGGAGTGTCTGGTGGGTTTGAACTGCTGACCTTGTGGTTTGAATCAGCCATATAAGTTCATTGTTTTATGTTACAGCACCATACCAGGACTTTCTGAATGCATATTGGTGGTTAAATGGAATTGATATCCATAGTCTTTATTATAGTGTCATTTGGAATAGAGTGTTATAATCTAAATATGAGTAGAGAGAGATATGGACAGATAATATATTTAGTCTTGTTTTAAAAAAGGAGCACTTGAGAAAGAGAATTCTTTCATTCAAGTCTGGGAGGTTCAGAAGGTGAAAGAGAAAGGGGCCAGTGGAAACAATAAAATAACAGAGAGGTAAAAGTTATCTAATTGTAATATGCACTTCTGGAGATCAAATTAAAGATTTTTGGAAGGGAAGATTAGATGCAATAATGTACTAAAGACAGCATTTGGTACACAAAAAGTGCTTAATATGTGATTACTGGAATCCTTAATTTGTATTGATGTCATTTTTTTTTGTAATGATTGAAGACTTGAGGCTATGTAATTTATTACATCCATAATTCTGCAGTCCAAATGTTCTCTAGTTTACATAGCAAATGATCTTTAAAATATACACATATATAGTCACACACACACACACACACACACACACACACACACAATCATTGAATTACTTCTTCAAAAACTAAGCAAAAGAGTGTTTTCAAGAGGGAATATGACCCGTTAGCAGCCGGGGCCATGGCAGTGCGTTTGCTGTCCTTGCAGCTCCCTTGCCTCAGGAGAGACAGTCGAGCCCCTGGTCCCTGCACGCTGGGTAGATTGCAATGGATGAAGAAAATGCTCTCTTAAGGCACGAATTCATCATCTTGCAGAAGAAATTTAAAGATAAAAGCCATGAACTTAAGGACACTAAGGAGCGTGTATACAATAAAGAAGCGCAAACTAGGTTGGTTATAAAAAATCTGGAGGAAGAAAATGAGAAGTTAAGTGCACACTGCACTGACCTGCTAAATGACCTGGAGAAACTGAAGAAGCAGGAAGCACATTGGAGAAAAGAAAAATACAGCATTGATGCCAAAATAAAGGTCTTCAAAGACAATTTAATTGAAGCAAAGAAATTGAGTATCACAGAATAAATATAATGCCTTGGCATTACAATTGAATAATAAACAAACCGAACTTATCCAGAAAGGTATGGACATTACCCTGATTAGGAAGGAGCTGCAGGAGCTCCGAATCTGATCAAGCAGAACAGCGCACACACAGCGCAGCAAGCAGAACTGATCCAGCAGCTTCAGCTTCTCTCAACATGGACACCCAGAAAGTACTGAGAAATCAGGAGTTACATATTTGTTTTGAAACCACAAAACCGAGTGAAGCTAATCTCTGGCAAAGTGTTGTTAATCTTCAGGATCAGCTATTTAAAAAGGAACAGGAGAATGCTAAATTGAAAGGAGAGCTTCAGGAATCCCAAGGAACACCTTATCCTTTATCTCAAGAAACTGAATCAGATCACTCACAACAGGCCTAAGAGAAGGTGGGAGAAGATGCTACAGGATTATATGATTCAGATGTGAGTAGTTAACAGAGTTAGTTAACTGATTGTAAAAACCTGGAACTTGAATGTGTATAAAGTGAGTCACTTAGAACCAGGAATGTGAAGGATCTCACTATCATCAAGGAAGACGAGCCAGGAGGGGAGCATGTCCTTTGAACCCTGAGATTTCTGTGCATTGAACTACCTCGACCCAATGGCAGAGAGTTGTGACACTGAAGGAGTGGCAGAGGAGCAGTAGCAGCAGAACCAAGAACCAGAGCACAAGACAGGATGGTAGACTTCCCGTGCTATGGAGCAAAGTAAAACTGAGTACCTTTGGGCAAGGAGGCTTTGCTTGCAGAGTTCGTTGCCTCCAGGCACTTAATTGGGGAAGCTAGATGTGCTGATGCTACCTTGAAGAGTAAGAAGGAAGCTGCAAGCCACCGCATAACATGGATGAACCTTGAGGACATTATGTTGAGTGAGATTAGTCAGTCACAAAAGGAGAAATACAGCATAGGACCACTACTGTAAAAGACTAAGAAAAAGAACCCATACTAAAGGTGGGGGGATTCTTTGCTGGTTGCTGGGATGTGGCGGGTGGGGTAAGGGGCAGGAGGGGAAGGTGGAGCATGGGGCAAAGAATAGACACAGGATAGTTTGGATGCTGGGGAGGGGGACAATATACAAGAAGGGAAAGGGGATAGAAGAACAAAGCAGATGGGAGAACAATTAGGCAGGTTTGCATGGGCTAAGTGGGACAGAGGTAAATAATGATGGATGCACAACCTTGGAACAACAGGGCTCTGGGGTACAGAGATTGGTTGGAATGGGGAAAAGGGGGGAAATAATGTTAAGATGCTTGGCAGTCTTTTGAATCTTGGTTTCCCTTGCATACCATTATAAAATAGACACTGGAGGGGGAGAGAAAGGAATAGCCAGAAATAATCACCATAGAAAGCTTGAAAGTCCGTATTGTGCCTATAACTGATTGGAATAACTAAAATGGGGCTACAATGTGCCCAGTGAAGGAGGCTTCCTGCAGAGCTTGTGCATTACATAAGACTATAGGTAGAATCCTGAACAGCATCCAGAATCTTCAGAGGTGGGAAATTTCCATTTGAAAGGACAGGCAGATAGCCTGGCGCAGCTAGAAGAACAGAAAATACTTCTTGAAAGAAAGACTGACAGGAAAAAAACAAAACAATATAGGCAGACCAATTGATTAATACAAGAACATGCAAGTTGCTTGCCCAGAAGGCATCAAGGCAAGTGGTCGTGTCCCCTCAGAGCTAACCCCCTTCCAAGACTAAGACTCAATGGGAATACATGCTCTGATTGGTGACCATGTTTGTCACCGATAAGGGGAAGTGAGGGAAAAACAGCAGTGAAGCTGTGAGCTAAGCCCTACAATGTTCAAGAGACTCCTATGAACCGTGGTGGAGACCTGGTTGGCCAGCAGTGTGACTCTTCGGTCCAGAGTCAGTAACATAGCCACAGAGGACTAGAAAGGAGATTGAAGTGTCTGGCTGATAAGAGAGGGTATATGCACAAGAACACCCACACTTGCAGATGATACCCACTTGACCTGGCTTCAGTGACTGCATGATCAGAGCTCAATTAGAAGAAAAAAGAACATTAAAAAAAAGAGTAATCTGATGAACTTGACCTACACCAATGGATGCAGTAGCTCAAAAGAGGGAACAAATCTTTACAAAGAGGATCATTCCCACCCCTTCCATACACAGAGTGGACAGGAATGGGCAACTTAGACATTGGCTACCCAAAGTGGGGGGGGGGGGGGGCTACAAAGACAAGAAGTGACTAGCTTACAAGCTTTCTAGAGGGAACCTAGATCCAGAAGATGTGGAGGAAGGTAGACTCTCCACTGAGTAGTATCCAGTCTGTCTAGGCGAGACTGATGAAAGGAAATGCAGATAGGTCTTTTGTGATACAATAGTGAATAATTGTTATCAGGACTGATTGTGAGGGTTGGAAATGTAAAGGTAGACATTTTGTAGCAAGGAGGGGAGTGTTAAACTTAGTTTAGGAGCAGAGGTCCTGGGAGCATCAAGGGAGAAGAGTGGAGAGTGGGACCCTACCCAGAGAAGCAGTGATGGCAGAGATAGAGGCAGAGATGATGACATGGAGAGATGGAGCAGCTGGGGATTTTAGACTCAGAGAGGAAGAGGGGCTATGTGCTGACGACCGGGGGGACAGGCTTGTAGTACACCTTTGGTTGGTTGATGGTGCATGGAGGGGAATGTAACCATGGCAATGAAATGATGTATGATAGGATGAATGTAAAACTAATGTTCTCCCATGTAAACTATCACATAATTCACAATAAAACATTAAAAAAAAAAAAAACTAAGCAAAAGAAACTGTTTCAAAATTTGCTAAAATACATTAATTTATTATGCTTATGTGTATTATATAAACATGTAACATTGTATACAAAGTATCCAGTTGATACCATGTTTAATAAATTGATAAGTCAACTTATTATGTATTAGTTTTCAGTTTAATAGACTTTTTTATATCCTATTAGCAAAGCTATGTTACTATGGAATATTGGAATTATGGGGATTAATTTATTCAAGTATTCTACCATTATTCATGTGATATTTTATATATAACTATTTTTGAAGATCCTTCTTGGTTTTTAGTGCTTAAATAGCAATTATATGAAAAAAATATTTTAAAAATACTTTTCGGGTTTACTTTATAAAAAAAAAAAAAATTTATCATATTAATACATTTTCTTTATCTGTTAGTTTTCCAATCTTTGAAAATCCGTATCCTATGGACATTCATGAGTCACCAGTTACGTGTACTGCATACTTTGCTGATTGTCCTCCGGATTTGATTCTAGTTCTCTATTCTATAGGAGCCAAGCATAAAAAACAAGGGTACAGTAATAAGGTAAAAGTAAAATTTTAAATAACTTTTCCTATATTTATGTTCATATCCTATAATTATACTCTTCCCTGTTATTTTCTTAGCTTCCATAGAGGAAGACTTGAAATAATTCTTTTGAAATCATAAACTGACATCTATAAAAAAGATAACTACCGAAATTCAAATTTCCTTAATGTTACAAAGCTATAGGCCTAAAAACATAATTTTTTTTTTTACGTAAGTGTATAACTGATGAATTTTGGGATGGCAGTGGTTAAAGAGCTTGACTTCTATCCAAAAGATTGGTGGTTTGAACACAGGGGTCCCCCTCTACAGGAGGAAGATGTGGCAGTTAGCTTTTGAAAAGGTTTAAAGCCTTGAAAACCCTATGGGGCAGTAGTACTGTGGGAAATAGGGTTACCATAAGTCAGACTTAACTTTACAACAAGCAATTTTGGGAAAGTATATAAGTATATACTAAAATATTCATACAAAAAATATATATAAGCACTGGACTACTAACCAAAAGGTTGATGGTTCAAACCTACCAGCCGTTCCTCAGAAACCCTAAATAGGGTCTCTATGAGTTGGAACAGAATCAATGACAGTTAATAACTACAAGTATATACTGAACTAAAACTAGCATACATTTTAAACACAAGATATAAACTTTGATTATTTTAATTCTTGTTAAAGAATTTCAAGAGTCAATTATTTCTAGTTAATCAGTTATTAATAAGCCAAAGGTGGTTGTTGTTGTTGTTGTTGTTAGGTGCCATCAAGTCGGTGCCAACTCATAGCAACCTTATGCACAGCAGAACGAAACACTACCCTATCCTGGGCCAACCTCACTATCTTTGCTATGCTTGAGCCCTTTGATGCTGCCACTTTGCCAATCCATCTTGCTGGGGGTCTTCTTCTTTTTCAACTCTACTTTGAGGAGGCAGCTCTTCCCCAGTCACATTTAAGTGCCTTCCAACCTGAGGGGCTCATTTTCTAGCACTATATCTGACAATGTTTCTCTGCTATTCATAAGGTTTTCAGTGACTAAATATTTGGAAGTAGTTCGTCACGCCTTCTTCCTAGTCTGTCTTTGTCTGGAAGCTCATCTGAAACCTGTCCACTGTGGGTGACCCTGGTGGTATTTAAAATACCAGGGGCATAGCTTCCAGAATTATAGCAACTCACAAGCTATCACAAGACAAACTGACAGACGTGTGGTGGAAGCCAAAGGTTAACAAGACATAATTATCAAAAGTAATTTGTTGAATGACATTCTAAAATTCCATTTTGTTATATTTAGCTATAAGATTCCAATACTTGCTGCTGTAACAGAACACTGATTATGAATTCTAATTCACCCACCCCAAGGCCGTTGAGATGAGCTCCATGGGGCACTATAGAATATATGTTAAATGACACCAGTCAGAGTTTGGCTTTATACAGATATGCAACACATGTAGCAATACTATATTTGTAAAATTTAAAATTTTGTTTACGTGAATTGTAATATTGATTAAAATCCAACTTTAAAGGGAATGAAGTTATGTATTTTGAGATGTTTGTTCAATTAAATAATTAAAACAGAGTTACAACTTGCCTTTGATTTTATAGTTATTAAGCGAGCCTTTTACTATTACTTTAGAATATTTGAATTCTAAATTTTTGAGTAATTCAATTGGAAAAACAAAACAAAACATTCTTTCTGGTTACTCTCTTTAGGAGTGGCCAGTCAGTGGAGGCACTTGGAACCTTGGAACACAAACATATCCAGAAATTATTATTACTGGGTAAGTAGGATGTAATTTATGAATTTATCAATTCATCATCAAAAAGACATTTAGTAAGTTTATACACGAGTGCCTTAATTGTACTCTGTGCATTCTAACAATTTAAGTAAGGATAAATAAGTACTCTTTCATCAAAAGATTATAGTATTAATTAAATATAAAGTAAAAGCACTGGAAACATAAATGATAGATTATAAAAATAGGAGAAAATCAAAGGGAGAAATTATGAGAGATTAGATAGGGAAGCTTCATGTAGAAATCATAGGATGTACTTTTAGAATAGCCCTTATCAACATCTCTTGTGTCTTGCCAAGTGTGGAAATCACTGCTTTTATCTTTGACAGGTGACTATATAAAATATGGATAAAAACTTATAGCACTAGAAATGTCACTATTTTTGTTAGCAACCCACTTCATGTTCTGAAACTAAGAATGAAAAGAGATACATAACTGCAATAAAGATGAAATTTAAAATATAATAAGGATTTCTGCTTCCAGAAAGGTGGAAAGGTACTTTTTTATACCTTACCTGTTCTTAAGTACAACAAAAAACCCTTAACATTATATGTATATAAAATATATGACTCTAAAAGGTAGAGAGAAGTTAACAAGAACCTTCAGAGTCAAGGAATGATCAGTGATCACAGTTCAAAAAGAAGAAAAGACTAAAACAGTTCTGCAGACAAAGGATGAAAAATGAGTCAGTTTAGCAAAACAAATCTTTGACAGCTTCAGTCTTGTCTACATTTATCATGTTGTTATTTATCGGTCCAGTGATGAGGAGAGTTGGCCAGTGTTCAACCATTTCAGTAGGTACCATGTGGTCAAGAGAAAATGGTTCTGAGGTAGGAAGTTCAGGCTGCCCTGAAAGCACTGGCAACGAGCAGGGCTCTGGGAATTAATGGAATAGAAATAGAAATCTTTCAACAAAGTGATCCAGCACTGGAAGCACTCACTCATCTATTCCAAGAAATTTGGAAGAGTGTTACCTGGCCAACTGATTGGAAAAGATCCATATTTGTGCCCATTCCAAAGAGAGGTTACCTAACAGAATGCAGAAATCATCAAAGAGATCATTAACATCACATGCAAATAAAATTTTTCTGAAGATAATTCAAAAACAGCCTCAACAGTACATTGACAGGGAACAGACAGAGGTTCAAGTCAGATTCAGATGAGGATGTGGAATGAGGGTTACCATTACTAATGTCAGATGTATCTTGACTGAAAGCAAAGAATGTCTTTCAGTATGAGTTGCACTTCAAGATAAAGAAAACAAAAATCCTCACAACTGGACCAATAAATAACATCATGATAAATGGAGAAAAGATTGAAGTTGTCAAAGACTTCATTTTGCTTGGATCTACTATCAGCGCTCATGGAAGCAGCAGTCAAATCAAATGATGTATTGCGTTAAACAAAGCTGCTGCACAAGACTTCTTTAAAGTGTTCAAGAGCAAAGATGTCAGCTTGAGGACTAAGATGCACCTGACCAAAATTAAGTCTTTTCAGTAGCCTCATATGTATGTGAAAGTTGGACAATAAGGAAGACCATAGAAAAACTGAGGCATTTGAGTTTGGGTGTTGGAGAAAAATATTGGGATAGGCACTAGACTGCTAACCACAGGTCAGCTATTCAAACCTTCCAGTTGATGATGCTGTTAAGTGCTGTTGAGTTGGTTCTGATTCACAGCAATCCTTTGTAGGATTTCTGAAAAGCAGCTGGTGGGTTTGAACCACTGACCTTGTAGTTCAAACCAACCTTGCAATCCAGTGCTTATCCTACAGTGGCACACCAGGATGCCTCCATCATTATGATATATTATGCTAAATTCTATTTGCTAATATTTTGTTACGGGGTTTTACATTTATATTCATTGGGGTTGTTGGTCTATACTTTTCATTTTCCTTTTTTTTTTTACTTTTTCTCATTTTGGTATCAAGGTATTGTTGTTGTTGTTAAGTGCCATTGAGTCGGGTCCGACCCATAGCGACCCTGTATAGGGTTTCCGAGGGTGTAAATCTTTACGGGAGTAGAAAGCCGAATCTTTCTCCTGCGGAGCGGCTGGTAGTTTCGAACCGCTGACCTTAAGGTTCACAGCCCGATTTGTAACCACTACGCTATATTGACTCATAAAATCGTATCAGTCAGGACTGACTCAATGGCACTTAACAACAACAACATATTTAAGAAGAATACCTGGTGGTAGTGTGGGTATTAACTGATACATCAGTGATTCAAATCCAATGTCTCCATGAGATAAAGATGTGGCAGTTTAGTTCTTTGAAGGTGGTTGCTGTTGTTAAATGCCAGCTCATAGCAACCCTGTATAAGGTTCCAAGGAAGAGCTGGTGGATTTACTGCTGATCTTGTGAGTCAGTTCTACTTTGCTTTATGTAGCATCACTGTGAGTGGGAATTCACTGAATAGCAGTGAATTTGAGTTTTTTTGTATTTAATGAGAACATTGATTATACCAGGATTCAAGATCATATGACCTAAAACCAAAGTATCGACTGTAGATTCCTTTATGGATGATCTAGATATTGCCAATATATTGCCAATATTACACACTGTCATCCACTACTCATCTGTCAGTTTGTCATACTTTAGTGGCTTGTGAGTTGCTGTGATTCTGGAAGTTATGCCGCTGGTATTTTAAATGCCAGCAAGGTCACCCATGGTGAACAGGTTGCAGATGAGCTTCCAGATGAAGACAGACTAGGAAGAAGGAGTTATGAACTACTCCTGAATATTTAGTCATTAAAAACCTTATGATTAGCAGAGAATCACTGTTAGCTATAGTGCTAGAAAATGAGCCAGTTTGGAAGGCACTCAAAATGCGACTGGGAAAGAGCTGCCTCCTCAAAGTAGAGTTGACCATGAGATGCGAATAGAGTAAAGCCTGTGAGAGAAAAGCCCAAGGACCTTCATCTACTGATGGGCCACAAATCAAAATGAGGAGAAACAGCTGTAAACATCCATTAGTAATCAGAATGTGGAATGTATGAAGTATGAATCTAGAAAAATTAGAAATTTTTAAAAATGAAATGGAATTCATAAACATTGATATCTTCGGTATTAGTGAACTGAAAAGGACTGGTATTGTCCATTTTGAATCTAACAACCGCATGGTTTATTATACTGGGAATGACAAATTGAAGAGGAATGGTGTTGCATTCATTATCAAAATGAACATACCCAGATCAGTCATGAGTTAAACAATGCTATCTGTCATAGGATAATAGCCATGTGCCTACACGGAAGACCAGTTAATACCACTATTATTCAAATTTACGCACCAACCACTAAAGCCAGTGAAGGTGAATTAGAAGAGTTCTACCAACTTCCTCAATCTGAAATTAATCAAACATACAATCAAGATGTATTGATCATTACTAGTGATTGGAATGCAAAGGTTGGGAGCAAAGAGGAAGGATCAGTAGTTGGAAAATAAGGCCTTGGTGATAGAAATGATGTTGGAGAATGCATGATAGAATTCTGCAAAATCAGTGATTTGTTCATTTCAAATACCTTCTTTAGCCAGCATAAGAGATGACTATACACATGGACCTCGCCAGATGGAATACATAGAAATCAAATTGGCTACATCTGAGGAAAGAGACAATGGAAAAACTCCATATCATCAGTCAAAACAAGGCCAGGGGCAGATTGTGCAACAGACCATCAATTACTCATATGCAAATTTAAACTGAAGCTGGAGAAGATGAAAACAAATCTACAAGAGCCAAAAGAGGACCTTGAATATATCCCACCTTAGTTTAGAGATCATCTAAAGAACATATTTGATACATTAAACACAAAAGACTGAAGACAAGAAAAGTTGTGGGATGACATCAAGGACATCATACAGGAAGAAAGAAAAAATTCATTAAGAAGACAAGAAAGGGAAAAGGTCAAAATGGATATCAGAGGATATTCTGAAACTTGCTCTCCAGTGTAGAGATGCTAAAGCAAATGGAAAAAGTGAGGAGGTCCAAGAGCTGAACAGAAAATTTAAAAGATCAGCTCGAGAAGATAAAGCCAAATATTACAACAAAATGTGCAAAGATCTGGAGTTAGAAAACCAAAAAGGAAGAATATGCTCAGCATTTT